ATNTCAAATATAACTTTTTGCCGTATGCTTGTTGCTCATCAAATTCCGCAGCAGACGGATTCAGTTGCGTGTACATTGTCAACCCTCTGTGCTGAGTTACCAAAATTCTAGGTTTTGTTTTAGAAGAATTTGAAGGATTAGAATAAGATTCACTCTGCGAATATGAAACGCTGACGGCTACACTCTGTAAAAGATATTTGGAGTGAATAATTTGAATAATATAATTTTATAATACTATTAGCATTATATAATAAATAAAGAATTATAACTATGTAATTAAAAAACTAACCGGGTCCATATTTCTTTGGTATTTTATAATTTTACTTGCACTGGCAATTATAAATAAGAGCTTCTGGAGGGAGCTTCCTTCCTTCTTTATAGCTTAATTAAAAAAGTTATTTTTTTAGCTAAAAGTTAATAATCGAATTTTATTTAGTTTATGTGTTTAATTTTAAAACAAGAATAAATCAATAAAGAATAAATAAATGAATTTAATAAGAAGATATCAAACTTACTGCACCGAAAGTTTCCTGATCAGTAGGCACCAGAATTTAGAGATATCTCTTTTTCAGTTCGGGATAATTAAACAAACCTTCTTTATAGAATACAATAATTAAGCCGAATCTCCTTTACAGAAATCGATATATCCTTTATTGGAACTACAAGGCAACTAGCAGACGAAATAGGATAACTAGAGTGTTAAGAAGTGTTTAATGAAATTTTCATCATCAGCTTTGCTTTTATACTATTGCCAAACAAAGACCATTAACTTCACGTGACTTTTTTACAATCAAAGTCGATTCTGATTGGCTGTCCGCATGTTGATCTGGCATAATTATTCAAATCATGACCCAATTAAAATGCGGCAGTGGTTGTAAAATCATCAAAGTCGTTGTAAATTTATGAATGATTGGCCGTCCGCGAGTTAGCCTGGCATGATTATTTAGATCATGGCCCAATTAAAATGCGGCAGTGGTTGTAAAATCATCAAAGTCGTTTTAAAATTTATGAATGATAAATTTATGATCTTCGAAATTGGATTGGCTGAATTGTTTGTTTGATGGATTTACTTGGTTGATTGACTGATTGATTGATTAGAGTGATTGATTGACTGATTGGTTGATCTATTCCCTGATCGATCGATTGATTTGATTGTGAAACTTCAAAGACTGATTAAATGGTTGAAAAGTTCGTTTCGAAATAGGCATAATCTGATACAACTGATTGATGATTGATGTGATTTGAGAAATCTGATTGACTAATTGATTGACTGATTGATGAATCGATTTATCAATTGATTGATGCATATTTTAAAGTTTCACCAAGCTGTAGGCTGAAAGTTCGACCGAACTTCACGAAATCAGGTTGATAGGAATGGTTGATTGATCGACCGATTGGTGTCATTGGTTGATTGATGTGAACTTAAAAATATTAATAATTCACCGATAGATTGATGGTATCTATCTGAAAAATCTGAATGGCTGATTGATAGATTGATGTAATTAGCAGCTGAAAGTTCGATTCGCGAAATACGCATATTCTTAAAAAAATTCACAATTCAATGTTCAGACCAAAGTCGGTTGTACGCGGTATACGATAAATAATTCATTCTCGTCATCATTAATCAGTTATCATTCTCCATTTTGGTCAAAGAAAGGGTTATCGTTATCTTTGGTTTCATGTTGGTTGTTATTTAATATTGACTTTTTTGATTCCAGGTCAAAGATCATGCCCTCTGTCACCAGAGTTCGCTTGATTCTTGTCACCATCAGCACCAGCAACCACAGCAACCACAAGCTTCCCACCACCACCAGCAGCAGCAGCTGAACATCTGCATGACTCACCACCACTACAATTACCAGCACCAATCGTCGACTTCGTCTGCCAGCAACTACGACAACAAACTCAAAGAATCCCTCGGTGCAGTTTCGCTGAAGCTGGATTGGGCCACAGATCTGTTGAAGAAGTCAAACGATGTTGAACACGCTAAGCAGTTAGTGTCACTGATCTCGTGCTGTGCTGAGGCTATCAAATCATTGAAGTCTGCTTACGACCATGTTGTTGCCCCGGCCGACAGGATTGAAGAGTCTGCCTAAAATTAGACCTTCAAGGAGATGAACGAAACTCATCCATTTTCTCCTTAACGCGGGGCGTT